AGAGAGCAGGGGCTGTACTCTGTACCAGACTCATACCCACATTCTGGGTAAGTCTTACTTGCTGAGCAGAGGGAAGGGCCTTCCTCCCTTGCTTGGCTGTGAAAAACAAGGACATAATCTAGCTCTAAATATACTGCACATTAAGAAATGAATTTCCAACACAGTTTCTGAACATGCCAGTTTTTAAACATTTCAGAAAATATAAATCCTCCTAGTGCCTGAGAGTGTGTTTATTTTACCAATACATCACCAGACCGGATCCCATGCTGAAAGTATGTGTTAAGAGGTCAGAAAATGCGGCTCACCATTGGAGTGCACAGGAAAGACAGATACTTTTTTAAACTCCACCTTCCATATATGCAAGGATAAGGCCTTTTCCTGTAGCCATATTGTAAGACCTTTGTCTGCAGCCATATTAGGAGAGCAGCAGCCAATAGCCAAGAAGCAAAAAGTCACATCCTCACATTCCATCTAAATTACATTAAAATAATGTAATATTGGGCTGTTAAGAAGGCAATCCTGTCCTAACAGTAACACCATCACCAGATAAAGAAATAGATCTTAAGAGGATTAAAGAAAACGTTGTTTGATAGCATTCTAGCATTCTGTCTGGCAAGAAATCACTTAACAGTTGTGATTGTAAGGTCTATATATTGTTTTGCCTTGATAGTCCCTACTTCTCTGTTGTTTATCTGTATGGTTGCTGTCTAGTTCTTTGATTCTTTCTATCTATTGCATAAATAATTTTGCTAGTTGTAAATCAACCATGGTGTTGAAGTATAATTGGTTAAAGAATTGTTTTACAATATGTTAGGATTAGTTAGAAAATTTAGTAATATTTCAGTAAAATGATTGGTTAAGATACAGCTAAGCAAGACTCAAGGTTCACTATACAAACTGGAGTCCAAAAGAAAGTTTTTGGGAATCAACTCCAGAACACAGCCCCAAGATCAGAGCTGCCAGATCTCGCACCATGCAGAAGCTGGAGTCCCCCAGATGACCTGATCCTGACTGGCCAGCAGGAAAAGTTCATCTGTCTTATTGGGAGTGGTGAGCATTGTATGCTTAGTGTGTGCATTCTGTTTTGGTGATTGTTCACAAATAGAGGTTAAGTAGGATATTACCGTGTAAGGCTCTTTCACTGGTAAAAGACCCCGTAAACCTGAAAAAGATTAAGGCTCTGAGGCCCTGAGTCCATAAGGAATGGGTGTTTGTTCTGAGTCCATAGGGAATTGGTGTTTACCCGGAGCCCACGGAGGAGTAGAGTCCCGAGCCCGGAGCCCACGGAGGGGTAAAGTTAGATCTCTTTCTCCTGGAGCTCTAGTAACTGGGAAAGGATAGGGATGCCTAAATCAACTGGGTTGCGCCTTGAGCCCTAGGAACTAGGTAGAGGTGGAAACCTTGAGCTCTAGGAACTAGGTAGAGGTGGCATATCCTAGAATGTGCGGGCAACAAAGTTAGAGTGAAGCTGGATGCCTTATACCCGGAGCCCCAGGAACTGGGAAAGGGTGGGCATGCCTAGATTAACAGAGTTATGCCTTGAGCCCACAGAGTGTGTGTAATAGAGAATTGTATGCGGGTAACACAGAAACACAGGTTGAAGTTTTAAACAATGGTTTAAAAATTAAATATTTTTATAAAAAGTCAGCTTGCACCAAGCTTGAGTTTCTTGTTTTCTAATGCATTCAAATAGCAAGCTGTATTTCCTGTTGCTTATCCTAAATGAGACAGTCAAAATGGCACCTCCCTACTTGATGAATGATTTGGTCTCTTACTATGCTTCCGTTTTAAACTGTAACTAGCGAGTGAGAAAGGGAGGAAGAAGAATAAACTGCACTCAGTGCTGCATCAGCTATTTATCTTTTAAGCACTGAGTTCCTCCTTTCATTGTAATGTTTTTGAAGCTACTGTTGCTTTCTGGCTCAACTCCTCCTCCCCCACCTCCCCCCCACCCCAAAAGGGATATCAGAGAAGAGGGGGATAAAATACCCTGCTCCCAAAAGAGACTTGTGATCCTTCCCGAACACCTCTCAAAACTAAATTTCCAGGTTTTATTACTCTTCTGTACTTTTCAAACTTTTTTCATCTGCATCATACAAGGATAGTCATGGGTGCATTTTGCAAACCTGAAATACCGAGGGGAAAGACCCATGTACTTCCTGCTATAGCAAGAGTGACAAAGATTCAGAGGAGGAAGAAATTATGCTTTTAAGATCTGAGTTCCTCTCTTTCAGTATCATTGCCTCTGTGGTGTTCCCTACTAAATTGTGGGAGAATGCCAAATGGGAAAATTATTATTTTCTTTGAATATGATACAAATATCTGTGAACAATTAAAGAACAATTGTGTGAACAATTGAAGAAAAAAATATCTGACAGAGAATAAATAATGTTTCAGATGAAGTTTTTATTTCATCCGATTCTATATAGTTCTAAATTAGAAAAAAATAAAGAACAATTGTGTGAACAATTGAAGAAAAAAATATCTGACAGAGAATAAATAATGTTTCAGATGAAGTTTTTATTTCATCCGATTCTATATAGTTCTAAATTAGAAAAAAATAAAGCACTTTTACAGTAGTGCTTTATCTGCTTTATTAGCTGGACATTTATATACCAACCATGTTTATGATGATTACCCAGTTCCTATGCTGGTAAACTATCTAGCTGTTTCTCAGATTGTTCTTTGACCTAATATATTTAGAGGACTGTGTCTGACAAGCTTCCCAATTGTGATGGGATTTTTTGGTTTTTGTTCTCTATATTTTCTTTAGAAAGTTATCACTGATGTTTAATTATGAACATATAATATAAATAGTGTTAAGCTTTAAACATTATTTATTGTTTGCAATTAGATGCAGAGATTACAATATATTTTAAACAGCATAACCTCACCAATGACTAGGAGACCCAATACGTTACTTGATCTTGCTAAATAGCAAGTGAACAAACAAAAAAACTAAGATACCTCATCACAAAATGTACTTAGTTCATCAGACAACTGAAGTTTATCTTTAAATATTAATAGATCATAAGACAATAGGAAATGTAGTATTTTTTATATAAGGCCTCACTAAAAGCGTGCTGGCTATTAAATCATTATTGAGCAGTGTGGGGAGATTGTTGTTTTGTATACAACAGTTGGACAGTGTGTGCTAATTAGCAAAGTTCTTCTCTATTACATCACAGTTTTGCTTTGAAAAAGTTCTTTCATACCTTTATACAAAACCAATTATTCTTATCCACCTGTTGACAGAGGCAGCTTCTTTGATGGATAAACCACACAGTCCATTTAAAGCAGTACATCTGCCTTTTGACAGACATGCATAATTCTTATTAACAAAAATGAGTATCATGTGCTGTGAAGGGAGAATATACTCAGACTTAGACAGTAACCTTATATGATCAAAAGAGGTTCTCTCTGTCCATATTTTAAGTCTGTAATGAAGGACACTGTTGGCCACAGCTCATTCAGATGCCAAAGAACTTATTTATAGCTGAGGATTTCTTGTGCATGTATGTTTACTGCATTGCTCTGGTTGTATGGAGAACTGGTTTAAAAACAGAATTTAAAATGGGGAAAAAAAGATGAGCAAGGCCTTATCTGTTATATCATCATAGAAGTGCCGAAATTACATGGAAAAGGAATAATCTGCTCCCTCTGCCTGCTAATGCAGGATTGCTCCCTTCATACAGTAAATTTACTAGTATAGCGTCCAAACTGTTTTAAAAAGGTCTCAAACAACTGGACTTCCAAGAGAATGTCATGAATTTTACCCCGATATTTAGCTTAAGTTTTCCTTTTCTTCTCCCTTTACACATATATCAAACAAAACAAAGAGAACAGTTATGTACCTTACAGGAACTGTGGTTTGTAATGTGTTGTCCACAGAGATCCCACTCTTGGAGTTCACGCATCCTGTGCATGCAAGATCAGATTCTTTTGAAAAATCAGTGTTCATTGGGGCCACGCCTGCACCCTGAATGCCCTCTATGCTCTCAGCTCTGGAGTGCAAAAAGGCAAGGTAAACACAAGCCACGCATTCTGTTCCTTCATTGATAAGACTCCCATAGAAGTAGGACTCTGATCAGCAGGGAAGAAAGCATTCTCTTCTTCAAGTGAATGCTATGTTGACTAAGTCAACCACCAAGGAGTTGGGAGTAGGGTGAGATAAAAAGGTATTTGGAGCCCTTGGCTGGAATTTTTCTTTCTTTTAATTAGTCTTCATACACATGGGTGCAATGGTGACAGGAATCTGCCAAATGTTATGGGCTGATTATAAGACAGCATCATTGACAGGCAGTGCTAGTTTGCCCTGAGATGTGGTGGGGAGGATATCCACTTGGGAGCATTGGAGCTCCTGTATTTCCTCCAAGTGAACCTGTAAGGTCTTGGCTATACTCTTCATCAAGTCCTGAAAAACTTTAAATTCAACTGCGTAGGATCATGGAGAGGGTATGATAACTTCATGTAGAGATTACTAGGATTTGTTGGAAGGAGATACTTCCTCGTTAGCTCTTAACTTCAAGGAAAAACTTCAGCCTTCTGATAATTGAGGCTGCCTGGAGAAGAGGCTCATCTTGATGGGCACACTTACAAAAAGAACCCATAGAACTGGTCACGATAGAGAGGCCTAAATTACAGCTGCTGAGTGCTACTTTTATTGAATGAAAAAACACTAACCATCTTACCTCACTGGACTATAACTAGAAAAAGAGAGAAAAGAATACACAAACTATTGTTCAACTCTGCTGTAAATATATTTAGAGAGAGAGAGAAGAGCACCAAAGTTTTCAAACAGGGTTCCCTAAAGTTCAGCAACTCAATTCATATTTATGCATCTACAGAGCTAGTCTGATTTTTGTAGATAAGTGACATTCACAACTTTCATTGAAATTACTATCTGATGTGGGTGCTCAACACCTGTGAAAATCAAGCCACTTATTTAGGTGCCTAAGAATTGGAAAGATACACATATAGTATTATGCATATAAACTAACCTGCAGACACGGGCAGGAAAATACAGCTTCTGCCAGGACCGACAAAGATATTTAGAGTGATCGATCACGCGGATCCAGTCTAGCTCGTCCATGGACACCTCAATGTAGTAGGAATAAGACCTGTGGATTGCCAAAAATAATAATTAGAATAGAAGCATTCAATATTTGAGAAATAACCTGCTTTCTGGAAGCTGGTGTCTATGTAAAAATATATTTTCACAAAAGGGACCCATATCCAGACTTCTGTAAGGAGGCTGCATTACAAATCGCTTTAAAAATAAATTTTAATGTAACCATATGTTAAAAGATATTTTCAGAACTACATAAAATGACCAAAATAATAATTCCCAGTAATAAGATGAGCTAAATTTAAAACCAGCACTGCAATTATTTCTGCTGAAATATTAACAAGGTATCAGAGAAAATTTAGCAGATCATAAATGTCAGCCTGAAACCCTTAACTGGAAAATGTAAGTTTATTTTGTGTGATAACATATTTTTCATTGATTTTCTTTATCAGTCTTGAACTAGTTAGGTACTGTTGCCCCTCTATCCATGTAATTATCTAATCCTTTTTTGAATTCAACAAAGTTTTTTACTTAGTTGGTTCATATCGTGTCACAATTAGTTCAATAGGTTATTTATGCATTGACTAAAAAGTATTTCTTTAGAAGCTTTAAATCCGTTGCCTTTCAGTGTTTCCAAGGAAGAAAGAAAAAACCACAAATTCCAGTAGTCCTGAGTTGATGGAACTTTTGCTCAACAATAAAAGTTAAGCTTTTAAACTAACAGGTACCTTCTTAAAATCAGTATATGTTATTCTGAAAGAACAATAACTACACTTGAGATTATAAGTGAGTTTATTTGAAAGAATTAGTAATGTTAATATTTTCTATTCTAAAATAATGAGAGTTGGTTACAAAAATCCAGTGGCAGGGTGACAATTTACTGACTGTATATTGTTAAAGACCTGGGATTAGTTTAACACAAGGATGGTCTACACTAGAAAATAATATCAAACCAACTACATCGCTCAGGGTGTGAAAAATCCAAACATCTGAGCAATGTAGTTAAATTGACCTAAGTCCCTTTGCAGACAACACTAGGTTGGCGGAAGCATTTCAATGTAGAAGCTCTTCATTGTTGTATACTAAATGCGATACTCTGTGAAAAAAACAAAAGGTAACTTTCCTCTTGCTTAACAGAATAAAGATATTTGCAAACAGCTGTATGATTTAGAGAACTATTAATAAAATAAAAAAACCCTTCTTGATAGCTAGTATTAAACTGATATATTTTTGCTAATAGAAAATAAGGCTCAGAATTTCCAAAGTTATGGTGTCACCCAACTGTTAAACTTGTGTGCAATTTGATTTTTTAAGAACATGCAGCAGCAAGAATAAAATGAGGTAGGGGGTTACATTAGTTACGTGGGCAGTGACAATTCAAATTTCATAAGTCTCCTTAAACAGGTCTTTAAGAACTATATTCATAACTTGGTAATCACCAATCTGGGCAATTTTACCACACATAGGTTACTGTCACAAACCTAACACAAACCGAAAGGTTTTTCATTAAAATGATATTATTTTAACCAAAATAATTCATTTTAAAATTCTCTTGCAGTGTTGTGAACCGAAACACAAGAATATCATGTCACTGCAGGAGAACCTGAAAGTGAAACTGACCAGCCCAGTGTCATTATCTAAGTGCAAATGGGAAACATAGACAGCATAAATGGAGAGAAATCAACAGCTTGTTTAAAATTATGTTAATAATTTAAGCAGTTATTAGTAAAAGGAGTTTTATATATTTAACTAAAGCATGCAGATGACTAAAATAATAGTCATTTTAACACTGCAAAGTGAAAGTGACTTGTTACATAAGTAACAAGTATGAACAAAAAAACCCTCATAAGCCTATTCAAATGTTAAACATTTAAATTCAAGTTGTCAATGCTATCCCAACCATGATATGTTATTGAAATTGTGCAATTTATAGGCATTTAATAAAAGTTAATAATTCAATATTTTTTCATTGAGGCAGGTGGGATATAATCAGTTTTAATTTCTCTTAAATCAGGGTGACTTGTCACATACCGGCTATCTCTGTCCCAGAGTAGTATTCGTATGTGGTTGATTATCGATGGCTGACCTAGTTTAATTTCAATGCCAGAACGGCAGTCATCATCAATCGGGTGTCGGGAAAAACCATGATCCAAGTCGTAATTCTGTGTGTCCCCATCTAGCAAAGCAGACTTCAGCTCCCCTTTTACAACCTGCGCTCCATATTTCATAGTTGCAATGTTCTCACCTGGTACTAAAAGGAGAAAGAAAAAGTTGCTTACCAGTTATGATTTTACAGCACAAACAAATTAGCAGAGATGATTTGGTGGCTACACAACCCTTCAGGTTGCTTCAGGGTTGTGTGAGCCTAATTCAAAGGCCAATGAAGTTAATGGGAATTTATTGGCTCAATGGTCTTTGAATCAAGGCCTACAAGTTGGGCCCCTTGTCTGCCAAAGCAGCAAAATCCAACCCTTGCCACAGAATTGTGCAACAAAATCTAGTCTTATCAAAATAGTTGGAGATAATGATCCTTAACTTCATTTGTAAAATACTGAGATATATGGTTGAAAAACATTGAGATAAAGTATTGTTGCTTTAAAAAAAAAAGTTTCTATCCCTCATAATTGTAAAGAAAATGCTGAAAACATGATCTGAATGCAAAATACTGTGTTGTCTTCCTGACTCTACAGACAGGCTGACAATAGCTTTTGGGTGTACATTTTCCCAATTCATCTCAATGTGGTGTTAGGTCTAAAACCTAGATAATGTAGTTTAAAATGTCAACATTGACCAACCTGTTAGCAGAAACACCCAGCTAAGATGCTGCCCCCATAATTACAAACAGCCTCTGTTGCTTCCACAAATGCCAAAAGTCCTACCTGTCTTTTATCCACCTGTCACAACCTCCAGCTGCACCCACCCCACACTAATTTTGTACGATGCATTTGTATTGTCAATACAAATATTTACAAGCATATTGAAGACTAAACATGAGAGGACAGCATAAAAATAAATTGAACTTAACATAACAGGCTACTGTTTCCAGTATTACTTAAGTTCATATTTAATTTTTCAAACGTGTTAAGATTTAAATGAAGCTGCTGCAGAATCCATGGAGCTTGCTGCAAAATTTAGGTCCAGCTTGCTATTTAGTACGTGGTGTCTCAGGCCATAAGGCTGAAACATAGGTATTTATTGACAGGAGGAAGGCTTGTGCAGAACAAAGCAGCCTCCGCTTTGAGAGAATGTACATGGATTTGTTACAATCGTCTTTCTATCCTGAACTGTTTGTGAAGTTTCTGGAAATCTGCCTATTCTCTGAAAGTAGTAATAATTAAGTGGGCTAACTCTATAGACATTTCATGATGCATTATTTAATACTTTGAAGTGAATAGTTTTCTGATGATAGTTTACAGTTTAATTTGAACTTAGTACTTAAGGAAAAGCCACTGGAATTCAATTCTTAAAATAGCTACATTACTGACAGGGTGAGAAATCATGAGCTTCGGTGCCTGCTATCAATGGCCAAGTGACTATAGAGAAAAGGAAATCAGCAGGCAACATCCAGGCTTTGTAAACTTCCATTTCATAGTACTATAAAAAGAATGCCACTTTATGACAAAATTGAAAAAAATCCCAACATGAATGCAGAGCATCAGTAAAGCCTGTAGTTTCCAAAGTGAAAAACCTGAAGGGACAGCTGCTAAAAAAAGCAGTTTTCCATAATGGAAAGCTCATTCCCACATGATTTAAGAGACCACAATACAGAATATTCTCTAAGAGTATTCAATATTATTCTCAATTGCAGGGTAAATATTCTGTGCTATGTAACTGTTACTTTGTAGCACACAAATGTTTTTATAAAACACTTTGCCAACTGTAAAAGGTTAAAACCTGATTCACAAATAATACAAATAATCTAGTACAATGGTGGAGACAGGTTCCTATTACAGCGATCACAAGGGAAATGCTTTCCTCTCTTTTCATACGTAGAATGTAAGCTCTCTGTTGCAGAGACTGATTTTCATTTTACACATTATGTGAGCAAACAATGTAAAAGGGGAAGAGAAAAAAATCAGATACAGAATATTTTGAAACTAAACAGCAAAACTATTATTTTTATTACAAAATTAGCATTAAAAATCTGACAGATGCCTGCATTAAAGTTTGATTACTTTTTAGATATAAAGGTTCTACAAATTGTTTTCCTTGAGGAAAAATTAAGCATTTTGATAAAAATGCACTCTGCTGTAATTTACATGCTAAAGCAACATCTAGACTATGAGAAGTTAATATATTTTCCTATTTAATGTTTGTCATCCCTGCCATTGCAATTCTTCAGAAAAAGAGCAAATGGAAGTTAGGAAACTATTCCAGCTACATTTTTCATTACTCTTTCTGCCTCCAGGGCCAGATAAAAAATTCACTCTCACTTAAAGCAATTTCAGATATTCTCAAGTGTTCCCAAGGTGTTGGGTTTAAGCATTTTAATTATATAGGTATTTTCCAATTAGTAATATACCACTCATTTCTACCGATAAATTACAAATCCATACATAAGGCCCTACCAAATTCATGGTCCATTTTGGTCAATTTCATGGTCATAGGATTTTAAAAATCATAAATTTCATGATTTCAGCTATTTAAATCTGAAATGTCATGGTGTTATAATTGTAGGGATCCTAACTCAAAAAGGAGTTGCAAGGGGGAAGAAATCGCAATATTATTGTATGAGTGGTTGCAGTACTGCTATCCTTACCTCTGCACTACTGCTGGTGGTGGCGCTGCCTTCAGCGCTGGGCAGCTGGAGAGCAATGGCTGCTGGCTGGGAGCCCAGCCCTTAAGGCAGAGCCACTGCCCGCAGCAGTGCAGAAGTGAGGATGGCACGGTATGGTATTGCCACCCTTACTTCTGTGCTGTTGTTGGCAGGGCACTGCCTTCAGAGCTGGGTACCTGGCCAACAACCACTGCTCTCCAGCCACCCAGCTCTGAAGGCAGCGCAGAATCAAGGGTGATTGACCCCCTAAAATAACCTTGTGACGCCCTGCAACTCCCTTTTGGGTCAGGACCCCCAATTTGACAAACACTGGTCTCACCCGTGAAATCTGTAGAGTGTATGGTAAAAGCTACACAAAAGACCTGATTTCACAGGGGGAGACCAGATTTCACAGTCCGTGACACATTTTTTCATGGCTGTTGATATGGCAGGGCCTTCGCCATAGAACAGTTGTATTTTGAAAGTCCATCCCCAACAAGTTTAAAAAATACTGATGCTCACTTAGCATGCCCCTGTAGTTGAGGTCCATGTCCCGACTTTCAGAACGAACTTTAATGGCATCCAGAATGGCATCAGGCGACAGCAATCCGGAAGGTCTTACAACATTTAGTAGTTCTGTCAGACTCATCAGGGGTAAGCGTACTGCCTGCATGATTTCAGCATGATTCTCCTTGGGGTTATGTTTACACCAGTTCATCAAAGCCTGGAAAATATCCTTCTCAGGTGCTGCAAATGAATCCCTCAGGACAACATTCAGAAGAGCAGCCTAAATAGAGAACATCCAAGAAAATTCATGTCTAAAACATAGCAAAAATTAACAGATCTTTAACTGATAAAGCTATAAAAGCTCTTTCAAAACTTGATTATACTAGTGGGACAGTGACTCTGTAGACAAACATTACAGCCATTAAGTAGCTCAGATGTAGCCAGGGCATTAAAAAGTATTTTACTGAGAAAAGGAATTTTGGTCAGGACCTTGGTTTAATGCCTATCCAGCAGATGGCACCTCTAACAGAGCAACATCCCCAAAGGAGTGAATGCCCTGCACTGTCAGATCAAAGTATAAGGCAAAGTCCTCATACTTGAATCCTAACCTTCTTGGTCAGAGGCGAAACCACTACTGTCTCACTATGATATTCTTACTGAGCAACCTCCCTGGCCTTTCGGTTTTTATTTTGAGTATTGTATTCAGTTATAGCTTACTTGCTTTCACTCATTTTAATCACTTATGCAAGAATTCTAGATTTTCTACTTACATAATAGGTAATGATTGTACCACCACCACCACCAGAACAAGGCTTAGAGTGTGTAAGTGTGTCAAGCCACTCAAATTAATTGTATCCCAATGTACTTTAAACTCTCAGTGCTGATGGGTCAAGGAGTAAATAAAGGTGATTTTTGGATTTGGCAGTATAGTGGGCTGCTAACGTAAAATTTTGGTAGCACACCTTTGAACTTAGCTATATGATCACTGGTGTGAAAATTAGATGCAGGTTTTATATCACCCACTCCAAGCTCTTTCCCTCCTTTCTTTTTTGGGGCCGAGCTGCACAAAAAATTCACATAGCCCTATCTCCTGGACAGAAGCACAAACACGCACTGATTGCAAAATGAAATCAACCAGAATTGAACAACTTTTTGCATTTTCACTTTGCAGACAGTATAAGTAGGAACAAGCCTTAGAACAAGGAAGTCCTCCTGCAGCACTGGTTTTCCCACAAACTCCAGCTACTGTAAAGGAGGTAGCATGTTTCCTGGTCAAGGAGTCTGCTGTTTGTTCCATTCTACACTGATGCATTCTTAGTTGACATATTATATCTGGCATCAAGTAGTTAACAGTGAGGACTTCAGTGTCAAAAGGGTGGGGGAGCAATTATAATTTCCTCTATAACCAGATACCGAGTTAGTTAGCTCTGTAAAGTCTCTGGTCCCTATTCATAGAATAGATGTTCTCATTAAACCTGCCAAAAACATCAGTGTATTTTTTTACAGTAAAATGGACTTGAAATATTTTTCATACACGTTTTAATATCCCTTTATAACCACTCATTGAAAGCTTGAAACTGAAATTTGCATTCTTACAAAAAAAATTCTGCTATTTCACATGCACCCTGGTTTGAGTGCTGGGTTACCGATACTGAGTTTTGAGGCAAATGAAACAATATGGGAGCATTTACTGCTTAAAAAAAAAATAATAATAATCTAGGACTAAATCCTCTGGTGCAGTGTAGCCACTTGGCACTGTACCATTGATGTATCCAGCCCAGAAGGTTCAAGCATGGGAGAACTAGCGCATGGGAGAACTCCAGTGGCACAGAGCTACCACAGAGATTCCTATGCACATTCATATACTACCTCTAGTACAATGTAGGGTGTGTGACCAGAGAACGGGACATAATTAGAATACCCCTACACTGCACTGATCCACAATTGTGGTTTCCGCCCATTGGGACAGTTAGCAGCTGGTGTAAATTGCAGCAGCCCAAAGGTTATGCTGGGAGAATGATCCTTCATGTAGGAGCCCTAGGATCAGGAGAACGAACATAAACTGAGTTTTATGCCAGCTTTGCAACTCCCTCCTCCAAGCCTTTACTGTGTACACTTTGGCCAGGCTTCAAATGCCAGACTATACTGTTTAACGGACAGTGCAGACTTTACAAATATGTAAGAAAACATACATAAGAAAAGAAGGTAAATATTTTGCTCCTACCCTTGACAATGCCCTGTTAAGAGTCATGTTTAACTTTTGTAATTGGTCGCAGTTGACTAGCTCAATAGATATTACATTTAGGAAAGATCTTTAGGTTCTCTTTATTACCACAATGTTTATAGAATACTACAAAGTATTAGTTATTCATCTCATCTTGACCTGAGTAACTCCAGCAATGCAATTTCACTGCTAACTGACCTTACTATTACAGTTTCCTATTACTTGGCCTATACTTCTCTTTTCTTCATTTCAGACCACTATTAGCATTTTATCACAGTGTTTTTTATAGACCACAACCAACATGTCTAAAAGAACTTACAAAGACTCACCTTAGAAAGTGACAGAAAGCCTTCACTGGAGAGCACCTCTTGAGCATTTCTATCCATAAACATACAGCACATACAAGTCAGTTTAGGGAGTGAGTAGAGACTGGCAACATCAAAGGTCATACAAACATTCTGAATATTAAGTATGGTGCAAAGATACTCAGAGGTGGAATCCTCCAATTCTGGGAATCCATATTTGTGAGCCAGGCTCAGGAAATCCAGGAGTACCTCTTCCTTCTCATCTCTTAATGTAGCACGGCCTGTGTATATATATTTCAGCAGCATTGTAAATGCTTCTGCAGTGGTATCCTGAAGAGGGATTTCTGCTTCAGGCTGAGATTCTCTCATTCCACCATATAATAATGCTCTAGAAACAGAAAGAAAATGTGAGAAACTTGCACCCTAATAATGGGTGCCTTATTATATATATTTAAACAGTAAAGTAAATAAATCAAGCGGCCTAGAGTGCAACCAAATGCCAGGTGAAAGAATAAATGAAGATATATTTGCAATGACTCCTCAGAAGAGGCCACATAAAATGAAAAAGAATCGTTTTGAACATTTGAAATGGAAGCAATGTGGACAGCTTAAAATTCAGCTCTACTCTGATAGTGTCTACGTAGGAGTAGCACTGTGGGGTCTCTTCATCATTATCTCAATTATTCTACATCAAGTTTAGTCAGTTTACAGGTAAAAAGAATGGGATGTGAGGTTTTTTGTTTTGTTTTTTAATTTCAGCTCTGAAAATTTAGCCTGGGATCTGACAGTTAAGTTAGGTTCTTTCCTACTTACATATCACCACCAGCAATAATGAACTTTCAGACCAAATTATATCCTTAGTGACACCTGCACAGCCCCACTGAAAGTTGGGGAAGCAGAAGTACAGACAGGTGAAATGACTTGCTGACGCTCATATTATGAAAGAATAGCAGAACTGGCAACAGAACCCAGGAGTGTAAATGCCCATTTTCCTTGCTCTATCCATTAACTGTAGCATAGGACAGTCTTGGAATCTTAGGTAATGAGACTTGTGAAGAATCAAAAAGTTTGCTACATGTTTTCTCCAGATCAGGGGTCTTAAACACGCGGCCCACGGAGCTCTTCCCTGCGGCCCGTGGAGTTCCCCACGCCCCCCCCCCCACTTCCTGTCGTCGCCAAACTCCACTCACCCGCACCCCCCCGAGTTATTTTCTGTGCCTGTTAAGCTCCCCGTGCGCTGCTCCCCAATGTTTGGGGCACCTGCCACCCCCGGGCACACACACCCCCGCAGTGTCTCCCAGCACCCACTTGCTGCTTCCTCACTGCCCGGGAGCCTGCAGCACAAGGTGACTCAGAAGCCTGCAGCACACATTGAATCCGCTCTGCTCTGCAGGCTGCCGGCTTCCAGCAGGTCCTAGTGTCCCTCTTCACTAGGGCCAGGGCAGGCTGCCCTTCCCCTGTCCTTCTGCCCTAGTCCTGAGCCTCTCTCTTCAGTGAGGTGCTGCCACCCTGGAGTTGCTCTAGGTAAGCGGCACCAGGCCAGAGCCCGCACCCTGCACCCCAACCCCCTGTCCTGAGCCCCCTGCCACACCCTGCACCCCAACCCCCTGCTGCACCTCTCCCCTCTCCTGCACCCCAACTCCCTGCCCTGAGCCCCCTGCCGCACCCTGCACCCCGACCCCCTGCACACCTCCCGCACCTCAACTCCCTGCCCTGAGCTCCCAAACACACCCCGCACTCCTCCTGCACTCTAACCCCCTGTCTGGAGCCCCTGCCACATCCCACACCCCAACTCCCTGCTGCATCCCTCATCCCTCCTGCACCCCACATCCCAATTCCCTGCCCTGAGCTCCCGCCGTACCCTACACCCCTCCTGCACCTCAACTCCCTGCCCTGAGCCCCCATCACACCCCGCACCCCTCCTGCACCGCCTGGGGGCAGAGTTGGGCTGAGGACTTCAGGGAAGGGGTTGGAATGGGGGCAGGGAAGAGGTGGGGCAGGGGCAGGGCCTCATGGAAGGGGTGGAGTGGGGGCGGGGCCAGGGGCAGCAAGGGGTGGGTGTCAGTGACGTGGCCCTCGGGCCAATGCACTAGTCCTCATGCGGCCCTCGTGGTCATTTGAGTTTGAGACCCCTGCTCTAGATGACAGGTAATTTGTGCAATCTGTACACATACATCTTAGTTTAATCACTAGCCTCTCTGGCATTCATATGAGAGAAGAATTATCTTGAAATTTTACTATGTACAGTTTAAGAATGGGAAGTAGATCTGCTGTGTTAAAATGAGACATGAGTTTCAACCCAATTTTTAAAACATGCAGTATTTTCCTAGGTCATATGGCAGCAGACAGAGCCTTTTAAATGAACAATTTCAGCAAGAAAGGCTAAAACTAAACATTTTTAATAAATAAGTTGTATACAAAATGGCACATGACTGCCTAGAAAGGAGTACTGCGGAAACAGGTCTGGGGGTCATAGTGGACCACAAGCTAAATACGAATCAGCAGTGTAACACTTTTGTAAAAAAAGCAAACATCATTATAGGATGTATTAGCAGGAGTGTTGTAAGCATGTGTGATGTTATTGACAAAATCTGTAACTGTATAGATCACTGTTGTAACCACTGTTATATATTTGCAGCAAATATTGTACAAAGGTTGTCGTGTGAGGTGTCCATGGGAAGGTTATGACTGGCTGGTTATAATTATGCTATCTGTATATGTGCATCATTTTGTAGTTGAAGTTATGAACATTGGCTCTATACTGCCTGTATTTCAAACTTATGCTATGCTTCTGGGTGACCCCCCCGACAAGTAGGTGTCAGATCTGCCTAGTCTGCTTGATAGCCCATTAAGGACCATCAGCTATACAACTGACCCATTGAAAGAAGGCAGACACAGCTTGTGACTCAGCAAGGTATGGAGGGACATGCCTATTGACAGAACTCTGAGGTTTTCCATGCCATGTGATGGACAGCTTGTCTTTGGGACAAAGAAAGCAGAGATCACATGGCAAGAGACTATAAAAAGTTGCTGCAGCTCCTCCAGCTTGTCTTCAATCCTGCTTCTCACCTCTGGAGGGACTTTGCTACAAACGGAAGCTCTACACAAAGGACTGATGACCCAGAGATGTACTCCAGAGACTTGATTTGAACCTGCAGCTTATTCCATCATTGCTACAAGCCTGAACCAAGAACTTCGCCATTACTGTATGTAATTGATTCCATTTAACCAATTCTAGCTCTCATCTATATCTTTTTTCCTTTTATGAATAAACCTTTAGATTTTAGATTCTAAAGAATTGGCAACAGCATTATTTGTGGGCAAGATCTGATTTGTATATTGACCTGGGTCTGGAGCTTGGTCCTTTGGGATTGAGAGAACCTCTTTTCTTTTACTGGGGTATTGGTTTTCATACCATTTGTCCCCATAATGAGTGGCACTGGGAAACTGGAGTGTCTAAGGGAATTGCTTGTGTGACTTGTGGTTAACCAGTGGGGTAAAACCAAAGTCTTCTCTGTTTGGCTGTTTTGGTGTGCCTTGGTGTGCACAGAAACCCCAGCCTTGGGCTGTAACTGCCCTGCTTTAAGCAATTTGTCCTGAATTGACTCTCTCAGTTGGGTCCCGCCAGAACCAGAATTGTTACAGCATGACACCAGAACTAATTTTTCTACTTCATGCTAATTAGATCTCAACTGGAGTACTATGTACAGTTCTGGGTGCACATTTCAGGAAAGATGTGGACAAATTGGAGAAAGTCCAGAGAAGAGCAACAAAAATGATTAAAGGTCTAGAAAATATGACCTATGAGGGAAGATTGAAAAAATTGGGTTTGTTTAGTCTGGAAAAGAGAAGATTGAGAGGGAACATGATAACAGTTTTCAAATACATAAAAGGTTATTACAAGGAGGAGGGAGAAAAATTGTTCTTCTTAACCTCTGAGGAGAGGACAAGAAGCAATGGGCTTAAATTGCAGCAAGGGAGGTTTAGGGTTGGTCATTGGGAAAAATTTCCTACCTGTCAGGGTGGTTAAACACTGGAATAAATTGGCTAAGGAGGTTGTGGAACCACCATCATTGGAGATTTTTAAGAGCATATTAGACAAATACCCATCAGGGATGGTCTAGATAATACTTAGTCCTGCCATGAGTGCAGAGGACTGAACTAGATGACCTCTTGAGGTTCCTTCCAGTCCTATGATTCAAGCACATTACCTGTATTTACACTTTTACTTTACAGAGGAAACCAACATCATATTTACATCATCCCATTTGTGTTCTGAAGTTTATTTCTTTTTAATCTGTAAATTGAGAGCTCAATTTAATGAAAGTCAAAAACATTATGATGTCATGGTATTTTCCAGCTTTTTACAGTTGGCCACAATGCTTTGATGCACTGGGAAGCATTCACACAAGAAAGGTCATGTTCAGTAAATAGCGGATTATGGGAGTATTTCTCTGAACTTCCCAGGGTATATTTCATACACAAAGTTTCCTGTAAGCTGGACAAGAAGAAATACATCACCTGAAATAATGGCATCTAGCAGCCAGAATCACTCTATGTGCAGGAAAACGTTTCTTTTCTACAATAAAGGTAACATCACTATACTCCTCCCCATTCATCAGACCGCCAACATTCTCTGACAAAATGTGAACATGGTCAATTTCCCCCACAGCTGTGTAAGGACGGAGTGGGTGACTATTACTCATCTTGATGAAGTGATGGTATTGACAGCCTATAGGAAGAAAGAAAAGAACTATAAGCATTTTTAAAACTGGATACTGAAACTACCTCAGAGAACAAGTTACAATTACAAAAAAGCTAATATAGATGGAATTTAGACAATTACAAGGGATAACAATTATTTAGTGAGGATTTTGCTAAATCAGTTACAATGGGAACCCACCCAACTTGCTTCAAAAATTATATTTCAGTTTGATTTCAGATATCTCCACCATACTTTTATTCTGCCAATGCATCTGTTCTAAATCAACAAGATGCCATCAATCAAATCAAAGTAACTGAATGGGCTGTAAAGCTTCTGCACTTCTAAATGATTCACAAAAGACAAAACTCTCTATATATTAAAATTAGTTGACTGACCAAGGAGAGAGAAATCATTATCTGAGTAAATAGGCTTAGTCTAAATACACCTCTACCTAGATATAACACTGTCCTCGGGAGCCAAAAAATCTTACCACGTTATAGGTGAAACCGCGTTATATCGAACTTGCTTTGATCCACTGGAGTGCGCAGCCTCGCCCCCCAAGAGCACTGCTTTACCACGTTATATCCGAATTTGTGTTATATCAGGTTGCGTTATATCGGGGTAGAGGTATACTGAAATCTATGCTAAAGTGTTTTCATCAGTAATTAGCCAGATTATGGGTGTTCATGACATATTCTGACTGGAACCAGATTAACTTTCTAGAACTGAAATAATTAGTGATTCTTAATGACTACCATATGAAGACTGTTCCGATAGCAAAGTTCTAGCAGGCAGAGATTCCAGTAAATCCTTGAAAGACTTAGAGGACTCCACTGGGAAGCCTTCTCCACTAAGGCCTGGTCTACACTAGGCGTTTATGTCGAAGTTAGCGCCGTTAAATCGAATTAACCCTGCACCCGTCCACACTGCGATGCTATTTAGTTCGACATAGAGGTCTCTTTAATTCGACTTCTGTACTCCTCCCCGACGAGGGGAGTAGCGCTAAATTCGACATGGCCATGTCGAATTAGGCTAGGTGTGGATGGAAATCGACGCTAATAGCTCCGGGAGCTATCCCACAGTGCACCACTCTGTTGACGCTCTGGACAGCAGTGCGAGCTCGGATGCTCTGACCAGCCACACAGGAAAAGCCCCGGGAAAATTTGAATTTGAATTCCTTTTCCTGTTTGGCCAGTTTGAATCTCTTTTCCTGTTTGGCCAG